AGCATTCAATATTAGTTACTAACCACGAGAGAATGATGTTAAATGCAGCTAACCATTAACCACCACGATGCCTTTCTCCGCATCAACCTTCAACACTTTCAGGTTTTGCAACGTCACCTGCTTGTTGCCCATATTGCCAGCCATCTTCTTTCCCGGATACACACGAGAACCGCCACCCTGACCGGGACCCGACGAACCCATCGAACGATGGGTTAAACTAACACCGTGACTCCGATCTTGGCCGTGAAACCCATGTCTCTTCATGACACCTGCGAATCCCATTCCTCGACTATTTGATCGTGCGTCGACGTATTGACCTTCCTGGAACCAATTTGCATTAATCATCTCACCGATGGGTAGCAGGCCGTTTTCGTCCTTCACCCGGAACTCATGGATATGTCGCTTGGGTGCAACACCATTCGCCGCGAAATGGCCCAGCATGGGCCGTGTGACTGCGCGCTCATGTTTCCAACCACAACCAATCTGGACAGCGTAATATCCATTTTTCTTGAGGGTTTTGTGAGAGATGACTTGTACTCGGTCAAGTTGGAGGATTGTACAGGGGATTCGTTTGCCAGTCTCCAGATCGAAGATAGCGGTCATCCCCTTTTTTATAGCCAGGGTGCCAGTTCGTAGAGGGGTAGTAGCAGCTTTACGCTCATGGGCTACAGATGGATGGGACGTGAGAATGGGGAGATTTGGGCCAATATTGAAATGGTCTGCCTTTGGAGGGTACATGGACCTGATGCCAAAGGCTCTTCTTCCAACGACATTGTCAACAGTAAAACGGGAAATTGAGGTGGGGAGGGACAGCAGCGCATGCTTCCCTAGCAGCCGGAGTAGCATGACTAGTCGCTGTTAAGACAATCGGTCGAAACCAGTAGGGGAAACAAATCAAGGAGAGCTCGATGCATTTGTATTCGAATCTACACGCAAGTTCAGTTAAACTTTGAAGCAACGGTGGCTGGAGACGCTATGCCCACCAGACAATAGTGGCATCGCTGTTTTAAGCATGTCGATTTTGTGGGTGGTAAATCTTCTTTTAGATGGTTTAAAATAAAACTAACCGTGCCAAGCGCAATCACTAGAGAGAGAGAGTGCACCCCAGCGTAACCGTAATATCACCGCAACCGTAATTATCATTATGTTGGGCACTAGTTGCCCAGGTGGCCCTTGTGATAACGTTGTTTGTCATTACTAAACTAACTACAGAAGCCGCTGCAAAAAATTTTGTCTCGCCAAGATAATTAAAAAACCGCTATATTAGATAGTGATGTATGTATGTATGTATGTATGTATAGGTTTAACGTCCCGGAGAAAACACGGGCAGCGCCCGTGTTTCAGAAGCCTGCTGAAGGGCATGGAGATGTGCTATGCTGAAGAGATTTCTATGTACACAGAGAGAGAGAGAAAACAGAATCCAGGTGGCAACTCTTGAGAAGACTCAGCTCATTGCAAAGGATTTTTCCAAGCTGCACTTCCACTTCTGACTCAATGTATGGCCCATTCATGGTGGGGCTATAGTGTGGTTCTCTGAGAGAACCACTGCTGCTGTGTCTGGAAGGCTTTATAGTGAGCAGAGAGAGAGATCTCTTTTAATTGATCAGAAAACTGTCTGTGCTTCTAACATCAGAAGAAAGATAAATAAAATAAATGAAAGAAAGAAAAAGAAAGTGTGTGTTCTGAAATGAAAAAAATAAAAAAAAAAGAAATGAAGAAAAAATTATGTCATCTGCAACATCTTGCAATCATATGATCTGACACAAAATCTGAGAAAAGAGAGGAGAGAGCATTGAAGAAAATTGTGAAAGAAAAAAAGTAGAGAATGACAAAGAAAGTAAAGAAAAGAAGAAAAAAGAAATATTTGAGCTGATAGAAATAAAGATAAATAAGAGGAAAACAAAGCAAAGTATATATAGATACAATGCTGACAGTCAAAAATATATCAACTGAATCAGACACACAGATTGTACTGATTACATTATGTCGGAACTGAATAAAGTCCGAATATTGACCTAAATACTGAATATCAAAATAGAATATTGAATTGCTTATTATTTGTTTTGTTATTATTCTGATAATTACATGATAAGTAGGCAGTATTTATAAGGAAGGATATGCTTGATTATACAAGCGGGGCAGTGCTCTAATGCGCAGCAAGGCAATTTCGAAGAAGGCGAAGCAAAATAGGCAACAAGGCAGATTATCCCCTCGTGGGTAGGTTTTTGCAAAATTAGCGTGGTTTCATTAGTGTATATTATACGAGATCCCATTGAATAATCAGTGTATTTTTGAGTATTTGTTGGTATTAGTGTAATATATAAACCCTAATTAAGGATCCGCGCCAATATATCTATATTAGGATATATTATGAAATTCCGCCCAACATCGAGTTTTCAAACATAAGGGGGTATTTTGACATTCTGAACAATCAGAATTTGATCTCCCTGCCTGTTTACCTTCCTGCTGGCCAATCTTTCGTTTATACTGACACCAGGCACAAACACGCTGTTTTGAAAGAGGAATTCGTTGATGATTTAGATCAGGATTTGATCGTTCGATAGGAAGATTATCATGAATCTTAGGTGCAAATTCAAAGAAGCTGTTGATAAAGCTTCTCATGAAAGCTTATATGAGAAGGAAGATCCTTTGCCGGGAATCCCTTGCTGCTTCATATATATATATTGAAGCCGGTATGCATTGACAGCCGCGGAATCGATAAGCCAGTAGAGAATAGGAAGCCAGGTTCGATAGGTGACTCTATGGCTAATATATGCTGCCCGGTATTGATTTGCTAGGTCTACCCCATTCATATTATGATTATAATCATCTATAATCAATGGGATTTTCAACTTCTTTTGTGGTTGACCTTCAAAGACTTTTCTAACAATATTGGCATTGGTTGAGAGTTCCCCTGGGCATTTACGAGTACGTTCAATAACTGCGTCCAATGAATGAATCGTAGTTAGTGCCAATACCATATTATTATCTTGCCAGGCAAGACAGAGAACATTCTCTTTTTCAATGGCATGCAGGGTATTCCAGGGTATGGAATTTGAATGCTCTCGAAGCTCGCCTAGTACTGCTGGAACCTGGTTTGGACGAGTGGTTCCACATGCTCCATACCCCTGTTGACGTAGTTCTTTGAATAGAGGAACTGATGTAAAGTAGTTATCCATATAAATTGAATAGGATGTGACCGGCTGTGCGATAGAGATTTGATTAGGGGTGGCATTCGGCGTGGCATTCGGGGGGTTGATATTCGGCGTGGTATTCGGGTTGATATTATGGGCCGATATTAGGGGTGATATTAGGGGTGATATTAGGGTCGGTATTAGGGGTGGCATTCGGCGTGGCATTCGGCGTATTCGGCGTGGATACCGTAGGAAGCCGGTTCACCAGATTCACCACCATAGATCCGGTTTTTGTTAATGTAGGGAATTGAAACATAGGCATTATACCCTGCCGGCGGCTAGACCAGAAAAAAGTCCATAAATAGCCATGTTCTGCTAGGCCAAATATCTTATATCCCCGAGGAATTGGTTTATTAGGCATCTTGTATGTATGTTGACTCCGTCCAAAGCATTTAACCATAATCTCATCAATAGAAATCTTGGAGCCAGGGGTGTAGTATTTTCGGCATGCCATATGGAACTCAGTAGCCAACGGCTCTACCTTATACCACCAATCATCCTTATTTTTGGCCCCCGGGCGGCGGGCTTCACGGGGGTTAGATATATGGATATATCGTTTAAGCTGTTTAAAACGCGTATGGGTCATATAGGATTGAACAGAATGAATAGGGCCCTGTTTCAGATCATTCCGCCAGTATAGATCAGTTCGATGGGATTTATGAACCCCCATATAGAGAAGAATGCCTATAAAGACCTTTATCTCCGCTGGATTGGTATTTTTCCATGAATATTGTTGGATAGAAGGCTTTGAGGATATAGAAATTTCAGAAATCTCTATATCTTGAGCTTCCTCATCCTCCTCTATTTCTGAAAGCTCTGGAGCTTCATCATCAGTATCTCTAGCATCTTTCTTTAGTTTTGCATAGAGATTAGTAGAATCACTGATATTTTGAAGGCTTTCCTCATAGAAGAATAGAGTAAATAAGGCATAAGGACTGCTAATATTGATATTCGCTGGAATATTAAGAATTGGATCTCGTGAGGCAGGCAGTATTGGATGGAATTTCACTGATTCTAGAGGTGGAAGTTCTGCAATAACCTCTTCAATAGGCCGTTTTCGTTTTCTTGACATTTTTGTATGAACTAGAGAATAAATTAGTTAGCTAGGTCATTTGAATTGATTAATATAACAAAATTACCATTGGATTTAGTAGGTTTCTCAGTGGATTCCACGTTCGCAGGTTGAGGGGGTTCCATATTCGCGAGGGGGGGGGTGGGGGGGGTGTTCCATTTATTCCTGAGTAGGGGTTCTTTATATTCGCGGATAGGGGGTTCAAACGCGTTGGATTCTCAACGCGTTGTTGAGATCTACATGGGATTGTTCATCAGTAGACCTGAATGACCAATTATCATTCATATAAAATTATATGGGATTCTATTGGTTATGCCCAGGGCGCCGGTGCAGAATTCCATACACTAATTGAAACCACGCTAATTTTGCAAAAACCTACCCACGAGGGGATAGCATGATGTCATCTCTGATCCTTGATATACGAGATATCAGCTCCGACATACCCCCTTCAGCAGAATAACATTAGTAATGAAGCTGGATAAATTACCAGAATAGGAAAGGATATAGAGGATATGACAATCAAAAAAATAAATAAATAAATAAATAAAGAAGATGTATGAAATGGATAAAGGATATATATGAGGATGTTGAATTCCTCCTGTCCGAGCTCGTTGAGTTTTTATACCTTATTTTGTTATTTTATTGACAAGATCAGTTATATCAACTAATCCAATCTGTTTGACGAATTCTCTTTGCCTCTGTTGCGATAATGGCTTGGTCAACCCGTCCGCTGGCATGTTGCTTGTAGGCGTCCATTGTACCGAGATATCGCCGGATTGTATCCGTTCCCGCAACCAGTTGCCGTAGATATCAACGTGGCGTAATTTGGTTGTGATAGAAGGATCTTCCTTAGTAAGGATGCCAACTGTTTGTCGATTATCACATTGGATTGAAATCTTGTGCCCTGGATCGAATCCCAGATGATCAAAGAATCGTTTCCACCAAATTGACTCCTTGCCTGCCGGTGATATAGCTAGTAGTTCAGCTTCAGTGGTGGAAGTTGTTATTATTCTCTGCCTCTTTGACTTCCAATCAACAGGTCCTCCAAAAAGTTTGAAGATGTAACCTTCTGTTGATCTTCTATCTGAATTATCCGCGAAGGAGGCATCACTAGCTGCTTCAACCACATTCATTGATAAGCCATCATTATCAGGTACGCTATATTCAATCGCTAGATTCTTCGAATCTCGCAGATAGGCGATAACGCGATCTCTGCAGAATGGCGCTCAGAAGGATTGGTCATATAGGTTGCGAGCTTGCCAACTGCATATGCGATATCTGGCCTAGTCATCACTGCGGCGTAGATACAGGATCCGATTCGGCGTTGATAGTAGTGGGTATCCTCTGGCGATGCGGTTCCTTGATAAGGTGCTAGCGGGATGCTAGATAGGGGTGTTGATGCTTTGCGAGCATGAGCAAGATGATAAGTATCAACCAACTTATCAATATAAGCATCTTGACAGAGCCATAACTTCTTAGAGCTCCGGTCCCTAGTAATTCTCATATTAAGGAACCATTCAAGGTTTCCCATCTGTCGGAATTCATATGTATTTTTAAGATCTTTGATTAACTGGTCCTTTTCCTCTCTGTCATCAGGGTGAGATACCACAACAGTATCATCAACGTAGAAGAATATAATTATCCGTCCGTTGGTGAATAGGCATTTATCCTCAGGGATTGGAACGAAGCCTAACCGCTTAAGAGTATTAGATAGTTCTTTAAGCCATAGAAGGGGTGATCTTCTTAGGCCATATAAGGCACGTCGTAGGCGTAGAACATAGGTGTTCTTTTTGAGGTTCCATACCCCCTTCAACTTCCACCAACCATCCGGTAATTCGACGTAAACTAGCTCATCAAGTGAGCTGTTCACAAAGGCATTGACACCATCCAATTGCTCAGCATCAAGGTCAAAGGCGTTGATAATAGCAAGCAAGATACGAAAGGTTCTTGCAGCTAGGGTGTGAGCTTTGGTATCTAGATCAGATACTGGTTGTAAATCACCTCGGACACAGATACGAGCTTTGAACTTGGTGAGATAACCATCATCATCAAATTTATAGATGAATACCCATCGTAGTGGAATCACTGGAGTATCTTTCGAAGGTCTATTAACAATTTCATAGGTATTTTGCTGGGTTATAGAGTCCCATTCCCATTTGGCAGCATTAATCCATTCATCGCGATAGGGGTGCTTGTTGACATCATTCCAATGTTGAGGTGGATCAGGTAACTGAGATCGATGAATTTTGAAAGGTTCTGATCTAGATAGGGGTTCCGCAAAGGCAGCGTTGATCATCCGATTTTGATTCTCTTTGGCAAGAGATACTGCTATATGATGGGTTGCCTTGCGCGTTCTCTTACCCTCGATTATATTGGATTCGTTGAAGTCAGAACTGATCTCATTCGCCCTAGGCGCTCGATTGTGTGATAATATCGGATGAGTATCAATAGGAAGGTCAGGTTCGATAGCAGTGTTAGAATCAGGTTCAGGGGTAGGATCCGGCGTAGGTAGGATATCTGCCATAAGTTGCGCCTCCAGCGCCTCGTTGATATCTTCGTTATCTTTATCAACGTTCTCCGTACGCGGGGGGATCTCATCAGGACGAAAGATATCGATATCTGAGCATAGATTATTCTCTTGTTGAGGAGTGCCAACCCTTGGTTCTTGTACTTCAATATCCAAGAACTCGACCTCTTGAACAACCCAATCTCGCAGCTGTTTTTCGATGTGAGGTTCATCTGGGTTATATCGTCTATTTTCATTGAATATAACATCCCTTGTCCTTATCACCCTATCTAGGTGAGGAATCCAAATCCTAAAGATGTTTGTAGAATCATATCCCACAAGATATCCAATATGAGCTCTGTGATCGAGCTTCTGTGATCGATTTCGATTGAGGATCTCATTGGGGATCTTAGCGTATGCTCGACATCCGTAGGCACGTAAGTGAGCACAAGAATGGTGGTCAATA